AGAGTAGACTTGTACGTATCTTTATCAGTAAATCCGTAAGGCCTTCTCCCGAGAAATGGTGTAATAAGCATAATCAATTGCCGCACTAGCCCGTAGTATAATGAATTTCGGGTCCACTCCTTCCAGAAAAAAAAACAAATTGCTTGAGCTTTTCTTGGTCCTTTGAGGATACAATTTCAATTACTTATTCAGCAAAATTAACAATTTCAGCCGAATCGTTGGACATGCCAAATAGATCGCTATGTGGAGGGAGAATTTTCCTTCTATGATAATGCCAACTGGAAAAAACAGCACGAACTCTTCCGAAACCGAATACTGTTAAATAGTAGCTCAATAATGAAAACATAACTCTATAAAAACGCCTTTCAAAAGAGAGTGTATCATTGTTGACCAAACTGCGTCCTAGTATATATTGAGTCATACAACTAATCGCGGTATTTTTACCATTATAGCGATCATTCGCTTTTATGAGACAAAATCCAGTTCCTCCCCATCAATAACAATAAGTATTGGAATATTGACGACCTTTGTCTCTGTATGGAACTCCCATAAATCGCCGATATACTTTTACATAAAGTGTGGCGATGTGATTCCTTTTGAGGACGGCAGACTCATCGGAATGCATAATGAGCGTCCGGAAGAATAACAAAGGGAAAATCAAATCGTGAGGATTCCCAAATTTAGAGGTCACCCATTTCATACAACACTTTAAAATTACTTCTTCTTGATATTTTGAGAAGTTATAAACAATTCAGTGCAGCTTTAAACTCAGTATTCCTTTTGACAATTTCTATCACATTGCTGGAAAGTTATCATCAGCAGAATTGCAATACAAATCACACAATTATTTCGCTAACAACAAGGAGGTAGGCATCAAGAGACATGTATTTTATTTGAGATCTATGTAGCTCTAATTGTGAATATTGTCTATTTTGCAGTATTGCATAGTATGCAGTTTGGCAGTGAGATGTGGCATAGGGCGTACGAACAATCTCTTTTCCGAAGATCTCACTCTCAGTTATTCTCTCCTTCTCGTATACGATCGTGAAGCGCTGTAGTAAGATTCAGAAATGTGCAAAAAAGCCAGAGGATCCATTGAAAGTACTCGCCATAATAAAGAGAATTCGCTGCACAGACCCTGCTTAGCTGATTGTGTACTAAACAAAACTTTTCGCTCACAAACAGAAGAATTCGTCATTTTTGAATATCACAAACCACAGAGAGCCATAAATGTTCACAACTTTGCGCTAACTCAAATCAGCACACATTGACGTTCAACTGAAGTGTACGCCCACCTTGATTTTCGCTTTACCGCAAGTTTAGCCTACCTTCCTAGAAGGGGCGTTATCGGATTATATACAATACGTATATGGAGTAGGAGAAGTAAAAACATACACCATACAGGAAACATTATCTTCTTTTTAGAAATACTTTATAGCTGGCGAAAGACTTTGATAGTCTTGTAAATTAAAGCGTTGATTGTTGTTCTGAATAAAATCTATAACAATCCAAAAAAGGATCTCAAAGAAGGATCTGAACTTTGAGTTAAACAAAAATTCTACGAATCGGCATATATATTATGTTATTAGTGAAGTTAACCGCTGAACGCTTTGAAATTTCTGAGAACCTGCGGAATCGCGAATGTTGAAATGATATCATTATGCATCACTCGGTATATGCTCATCATAATGGTGTAAGCCTTACAAAGAGAATTTTTGAAAA